TACCGTGGCTACCTGGATGAAGAGAAGAGAAAGAAAGAACGGCGAGCTGCCGGCTTAAAAGAGGAAGGCCCTCACAAATGAGCTAGAGGACTAGGATGGAGGCTGATATATGTGCCCTTGAGAAATCGGCAGACGCTGAGAAAGCAGAAGCTACAAGCAAACTGACCTTTATCACCAAATCCAACAGTTTCCGCTGCAAAAGAAAAGCATCAGCATCTCTGCTTGTGACTGAAAAGCATATTGATGAGATATTTGACAAATGACAAAATAAACTGTGTGGATTGTTTAGATTAATGGTAAATAGGAGCAATAGTTGGTTAAACCATTAAATCGTTACAAAATCTACACATTGGAGTTCTCAGGGTTGGACACATTTTATTCTGTTTCCCCTCTGATAGTGCTGCCTTGTAAAGTAAATGCCAGTTTTACTGGACATTTATTTACTTATTTGTTTTTCATGTCAGTATTTATTTTTATTTAGTCGTTTATATTAATTAGGGCTACACATTGGAGTTCTCAGGGTTGGACACATTTTATTTTGTAAACATCTTAATGGTGTGTCAGCTTTACTTGAATAGATGTTTAAATTGGATCAAACCACATAGCTTGTCAATAATTTTAGCATATACTGTGGTAAATTTTGACATGGATTTTACACTTATTTTTCATGTATACATAGACTTTTCAGAGAATGCATGGTCATGAAAATTTACCTCAAAGTCATGGAAATGTACTGGTTAAAATGTTTATGAACCCTGTATTAAGGGGCCTAATTTGTGCCAAGAAAATATTCCCCACACCGTTACAACATTACACCTCCACCAGCTGCCTGAACCGTTGGCGCAAGGCAGAACGGATCCATGGATTAATAATGTTTATGCCAAACTCTGACCCTACCATCTGCATGTGGCAGAAGGAATCGAGATTCATCAGACCAGCTAATGTTTTTTCATTCTTCTACTGTCCAGCGTTTGCCACTGTATACCCGTTTCCTGTTGTTAGCTGACAAAAAGTGGGACCCGGAGTGGCTGCTGTAGCCAAACCACTTCAAGGTTCGAAATATTCCATAACAGTGCCATAACAGTGAGGGATGCTTCTGCCTTGTCTCTAGCCTTGTTGTAACCGAGGGTTGTTTAAGTTACAGTTGCCTCCATAAACTTGAACCTGTGTGTTTATTTTCCTCTGACCTCCCTTATTTGCATCCTGTCCCACAGAACTGCCGCTCACAAGATGTTTTTGTTTTTCCACATTTCGTTGTAAACTCAAGAGACTGTTGCGCATGAAAATCTCAGGATATCTCCAGTTTCTGAGACACTTAAACCAACCCATCTGGCACCGATAATTCGTCCTAGGTCAAGATTCACTTAGATCATATTATTCCCCATTCTTATGTTTGATTTGAACAACTGAACTTCTTGACCATGTGTGCATGCTTTCATGCATTGAGTTGCTGCCACATAATTGAATGATTTTCCATTAATGAGCAGATACAGGTATTATACAGTGGCCGATGTGTATTATTTTTGTTCCCAGATTACTTATTTTACTTACAGCTTTGCTGTTAGCCCCAAGCTGTTATCCTATCTCAGGTTAGTGAATGAAAAATGTAGCTGTTCAAGGACTTTAGTACCCATTATTTCTGCACAGTAAACTGCATACAGTAGAGTCCAGTCTGGACAAGCTGCTCACTTGTTGTGTTTCTGATTTAATTTCACTCTTTCATGCTTTCCTGTCAGCATCTATACATGATACCAGGATTTAACTAGGCCCCAAATGCAAAACCTTCATTGATGGATTCTCTTCTTCTCTTGAAAGTGCATATGTTGATTTTTGCAGATATAACTGGTGTTTCGTACATAAAGAGATTGACCAGTACATTACAGCTTTAAATCGCGGAAAAGCAACCTCCTCTTATTGCACGACCATTGGAGAATACGAAAAAGCAGCAGCATTGTTTTCTCTCAAATGACTGGAATGTTAACAAAGTAATGTGCATTTTCTGACACATTAAAGAGGTGGTATTATGCTCATTTTCAGGTTCATAATTGTATTTAGGGGTTGTATCAGAACAGGTTTACATGGTTTCATTTTCAAAAAATACCATATTTTTGTCATACTGCACATTGCTGCAGCTCCTCTTTTCACTCTGTGTGTTGAACGCTCTGTTTTAGCTATGGAGTGATACATCTTACCTCTACAAGATCTTTGTTGGGAGTTGCACATGCACAGTACCTAGTTAAGGACTACTAGCCATTCAGAAGCAAAGAAGGGAAGGCCCTGAAAAGCCGGTAAACATGACTTTGGTTCGGTTCAGTTCAGCTGTACATGTTCCCCTTACCAGCTTAGCAACAGTGTTGATGCGTTACTGTAATCAGATTACTTTTGTCTGTAATGCAGTAATGTAACGCATTACTGTTGATAACTTCAGTAATCACATTACAGTTACTAATAACAAAATCATTGCGTTACTTGCGTACTTGTTCTTGAACTATCCGCATAACAGGAGAAGAAAAATAAATCAAACGTCCTGAGTGTTTGCGTGACTTCAGCGCCAGTTCATGAGGACGCAGAAATTGCAGAGCTGACAAAGAAGTCTTTCAAGGGATGGACTTCACATTGTTTCGCGAAAGGACAGCGATACCCTCTAATGTGCCTGTGGCGAGGCTCTTGGGCAGCCTTGTGCTGACTCCGAGGAGGAACAGGATGTCTGACAAGCGATTTGAGAGAGCCAGGTGGAGCTTAGCTCCCCTTAATAAGATATCAGATCCCCTAAAAGCATGATTTGTGATGTTTTGGGTTGACAGCATGCTTTATTGACAATCTCTGTATATCATCATGGATCATGCTGAGCGTCAGACTTCATCCAGCCAGAGGGAACAATGACCGACCGTCCGCAGCGGGCCGGTCGCTCCTCGATATCCTGCCCTCTCCCTCCGCCTCTCCGGTATGGGTTGTGTTGCTAAGCGCTATGAACGGTTCTTGATCGTTCCCGCTGGCTGGATGAACTTTACGCATGATCCATGCACTGCTGCAGCTGGTGGCTCTCTGCAGCGTCACGCAACTTTCTAAATTCTTCCCTCTCGCGGAGAAAAGAAAGGTCAGGTCGCAAACACAGCAGCGGCTGTTGTGTCAAGCGTAATTGTAGCAAAATGGCCACATATGATGATAATAATAATAATAATTATTATAGCCTAATTATTCACAGTTAATCACAGTCTGTGGTACTGTACTGTAGCCTTGTTCTTCTCTTGACAAATGTTGGGCTGATGTTCACAACTCTGTTGTCAGCTCTGTAGTATTAAAGAGCATAAAAGAGAGATCCTGTGTATGTCCTCATTGTAATAAGGATTTGTGTTGATCTGTGCATATATGAGGTGTCACTATATATTATTATTGTGCATGACAGGTGATGTTACGCAGTAGTATGTAAGTAATGTAACTAGTAGTGTAACTAGTTACTTTCAGCAGTGAGTAATCTAGTAAAGTAAGGCATTACTTAAAAAAAAGTAACTAGTAATGTGTAATATATTACCTTTTTTGAGTAACTACCCCAACACTGCTTAACAGTGAGTGTTTTTCCACCTGTGTTTTGGAGGGCGTGTCTGACTAGCCGCTTTGCAAGCATTATGACGTGTGTTTCGCTGTGACGTCACAGCAAAGCGGAACAAAAGGCTGGACTACAGATGAGCTGTTTTCAGGCAGTTCAGAGCAGAGTTTTCTGTGGGAGAAGGGAACTGTCTTTGGGGTGGACTTTGGGCTTTTTCACTTTGCAAACCTAACCTACAAAAAAGGTATATAACTCAATGAAGGAGAGGGAAAAAGCCAAAAAGCATAAAATGACCTCTTTGAAGGAAAGAGTCTAGTCTGTCCTTTTAAGATCCCTGTGCTTGACTTGTCCTACTGGCACTTAAAGCTGTCCTCCTTCATGTCAGAACAAGGGAGATTTGGAGTCGGAGATGGAGATGGAGAGAATGTTAAAGAGTAGGAGAGAAATAATCAGCTGATGCAGCCTTTCTCATGTGAATACAGATTTGACTACAACCTACCCCTGGGATGCATGCAGAAAGACAATTACCAAACCTCAGTCACAGAGAAAGAAAGACAGAAACACAGACTGACTGAAGCAGTCAATCTGCATGTTTCAGTTCCAGTTCTAGCTTCTGCCCCAATTCCACCCTGCTATTCATTTGCCACAAAATTTAACATCACCTGACCCTCTCCTCTTTAGTATTTCTCACTTCCCTGCCTTACTCCACACACTTTCATTCCACAAAAGACTACAGGCTATGAGTGCCGCACCAGAAAGGGGGGTAAGAAAAGGGATAAAAGCGGTTGCTAAATAATCCCATTTAAATGTGCACTGCTGCTTTTATTCTTGACACACAGCAAGCAGGCCTGGTTCAAGCCGAGTGTGGGTTGAATTGGCAAATAGAGTAAGCAGAGAGGGAGAGAGACGTGTTTTGAAATGAGGCTTGAAAGGCAGCCCAGTTTGCAGCTTAGGGTATCACTAAATGTCTGCTGGGAAGGAGGGGGGGGGGGGCTGAAAGAGTGGAAAGAAGTCAAGCAGAGGGAGAGACCAGGAGCTGGTGATGTTATAAAGGTACAGTTAAAGAACTGGAGAAAAACAAATAAAGGAAGGTGGGTCAGTGTATGTAAAACTGTAGGAAGTGGAAATAAAAGATAGAGGAATAGGGAGTAGCCCTGTTCACTATTGAAGGGGGAAGAGTGGATGTATGAAATCCAGAGATGAAATTTTCCTTCAGCCATCTCAGCAGTTTCTCTCAGCTCATTAGGAGTTGGAAAAGGTAAAGTCAAGACATGATCTATTTTTTTTCTTTCTTTCATCCTCTTCTTCTTTTATCCCTCTTCCTCCTCCCTTTCCAGTCTGCCATTATGTAATGTACAATGGATTATTTTCCTTTATGTTATAATTGGGCTCTAAAAAACAATACAGAGAATGAAATGGACAGAGGTCTTGAATGTGTGTTTGTTTTTTTCAGGTGAGGCAGACCTGGATACTGTCTGTGAGGCCTCCCTTCCCTACCTAAGCTGTAGACAACCCATCAGACTGCAAGAGGCCAGCCTAAGGTGAGCCTGTATCCAGTGATGTAAAGTAACTTGTGCTTGAGAACAACTATTACATATAAAACAATGACATTCTGTGACACATTTATATAGGAGAGCTGGAACGATTGAAACACTTCAGATAATCCTCATTTTAAAACATAATGCTACAAACAGATATAATGTGTTGTTGTCATGTGTGTTCTATCAATACCAGGTGCTATCTTGTAAAAACGTGAAATGACTTCAGTTTAATTTAATTTTGAACGAAAGGTGCGCATTGTTTCATTCGTCCCACGCGTGACAGATGAAGCACAGGGGTGGGACGGAACAAACACATCGATATACATCAAAATAGTTTTTATTATTCTTGTTTTTATTTTAAATGCTTGAAACTGTCCTTCTTAATACGTGATTGCAAACATATCATGTCCTTTTTCTTATCATTTTTAGAACATCAAACAGGTAATGTGCATTTGGATTAGATTTGTCCTTTTTATGTACATCTGCAGCCTGTTTTCCTGGTCCACTGTGAAGACCCTATTATTTGGCTGAGAATAATCTGGTGGTCAGGCCTGCAGCCTAGTGGATGCTGCCCCCCACCTGCAGTATCTAAATAGGGTAGAATGGCTATGTGTTGGGATGATTGAAACAAGTGTTTCAGTCATCCCGACAGTGACTCCTGACTTTTAAACTTCACTAGCTTTTAAACTGTAAAACTTTGACATTTAAAACTTCAGAATGTGTTAAAGTACTAACTAATCTGTCATATGATCATGACAATGACACATGACAGAATTAATCCGCTCGACTTCAAATTTTCGCTGTGCAGTCTAAACCCATTGCCGATTAAAAGTTAGCGGTTCCACCAGGCTGCATGTCGAAGTGTCCTTGGGCCTGATACTGAACCCCGAATTGCCCCCGGTGGCTGTTCCACCAGTGTATGAATGTCTGTGAATGTGATGTAGTGTAAAAGCGCTTTGAGTGGTCGAAAAGACTAGAAAATTGATCTCATCAGTCCATCAGATTGTGTTCCAGAACTTTTGCGGCTCATCTCTGTACTCTGTGCTAATTTCAATCTGGCCTTCCGATTCTTCCTGCTGATGAGTGGTTTGCATCTTGTGGTGTGGCCTCTATATTTCTGCTCTCTGAGTCTTCTTCCAATAGTGGATTGTGATACCTTCACCCCTGCACTGTGGAGGTCGTTGCTGATGTCACTTCTGATGTTTTGGGGGTTTTCTTCACAGCTCTCACCATATTTCTGTCATCAGCTACTGTTGTTTTCCTCAGTCGACCTGTTGGACGTCTGTTGCTCAGTACACCAGTAGTTTCTTTCTTTTTCAGGACATTCCAAATTGTTGTGCTTGCTATGCCCAATGTTTGTCTAATGGCTCTAGTCGATTTTCCTTCTTTTCTCAGCTTGACAGTGGCTTGATTTTCTCCCATAGACAGTTCTCTGGTCTTCATGTTGGTTTATCCTCTTTAACAGGAAATGCAGTCTTTATAGGTTTGAACCAAGGATGAAAAGACTAGTCATGCAGAGCTATTTAATGTTTGGACAATCAACCTAAAAGGCAACACCTGGGTCAGTCACATATTTTGCTCACTTGAAAATGGGTGGGTTCAAACAAAGGGTGATGTGTCCTGAGTTGTTTAACACATCTAGATGTGAATACCAGGAAATAAAAGCTGAAATTCTGAACTCTCGTCTCATACTCATCTTTTGATCTTAAACCCAAATGTCTTCAGTGAACAACAGAAACAAAGCGGTAAGGCAGAAGAAAACTAGAACAAGATAGGGAAGGTTTGTGTTTGTCTAGCTGGTCATAACATTTGCTGTATTGGTGCCTTTTGTGGTTTAACATAACTTTTCATGAAGCCAATGTGCTTGTCAGGCTGTGATTGGTAAACCGAACAATCACAGCCTGGATGGGGTGGGACATTAAAAACAGTTTGACGTGCTCCAGCAAACATTTCAAATGTTGAACAAAATGATTATTATAAGTTAGTACGTAGTATTAACTAATTAGAGACCAATGTAGAACATTTTGCTTTCAATAAAAACAACCCATAGAAATGAAACACTGTACCGATTGAACTAGTGGTAAAATAGTATACTATTATACGAAACTATAATGATTGCAGTAATTAATATATTAAGACTAACAGTATACTATTTAGTGAACATTATACTATTTGTTGCATATTATCATATTATACTACTACCATGGGCAGTGGTAGCACTGTCGCATCACAGCAAGAAGTTTGCGGGTTCAAACCCAGGTTGCTCCGGCCTCTCTGTGTGGAGACCCTAAATTGTCCTTAGGTGTGAGCGTGAGTGGTTGTTTGTCTAAGTGTGGCCCTGCGATGGACTGGCGACTTTCGCCCGATGTTGGCTGGGATTGGCTCCAGCCCACCCCCACCCCCCACCCCCGCGGCCCTGTATGCAAGATAAGCGGTTGACGATGGACACTACTACTACTTTTTCCTTGAGTAGATTCCATTTGCTCTATTATATTGAATCACAAATCGCATTTGTCCACAATAATCACAATATTATTTTTCTTCAAATCGTGCAGCCCTACTTGAGATGCCTTTTCAGAAATGGGGCCCTGGTTTATAAACCATCAGAACTGCTTGTCGGGTGGTCCAAGTTATATTAGGGGGGACTGTGTCCAACCATTTATGCACTCTTCTGAAACTGACGATCAGGCATTCACACCCACTTCATGCTGTGATTGGCAGTGCACCATTATCCCCATATTTAAATTAGATCATGTTTCCCTCCTCTGTATGACAGTCGGCTTTTCACTCCACCGTTGAGTGTAGCTGTTTGGAACAACTAAATTAACTTTGGATTTCCGACATGGTCAGATAGCATGTAGTAAGAATTTGTTCCATCAATCAATTATACCCCGGCCCTTAAGTACTTCTGTTGGTAGAGTGAATAAAAACAACCTGAAGGAAAAAGGCGGTGTTGAGTGAAATGGGCTTATAGTCAACTGTAGGATTGCTAATGCAAGTGAACCTGCTGTGTTAGGCTTAGTCTGTCACTTTGGATTACAGGAAGGTTTTCCACAACATACTGTATATATTAAGCACCCTAGCAAAATACATCCCCAAGCTAATGCTCTTCCCATGTATCTTTCACTTTTTTTCAGTGTTTTCCGACACTTAATCCAGGTGGATCCGGATGCCTTTTGGTTTACTCTGAATGAGCTGCATTGCCCATTTTCCTACATCCCACCCGACTCTGACCTCCAGCCTGTACAGATGAATGGAATGGGTCGACCAAGGGACGAGTACTCGGACAACGTGCTGAAACTGCTGAGGGAGGAGTTCGGGTTGAGTTGAGAGCTGTGTTGCTGAGACAGTCAACCAGCCAGTCAGCTAATGAGCTAGTGACTGATGTGATTGACTCATCTCTTGAATGGACAGCTTACTGAAACACTGACTCCAACAAGTCAATTAACTGAAAGAAAATCTGACAATTGTGCCAATAACAGCCATCAGATACAGTTGTGATAACCTTCATGCTGTACACAGCTCTGATAGCAGCAAGGTACAAAGGAAAATGTTAGGGAAGCATCTCTACTGCTGTTCCCTCTCCTGCTGCATGCTTAGAAACCAGGAATGCTTCTGTTTTTTTCTAGATTAGGAGACATGCAGTGACAGTGCTGATGTTTTTCATTTTATGTGAAGGCACTGACATATACTGCTATGCTATTCCTTTTTATGTTATTTCTTTATTGTTTAAGAAATACGATATTCCTAACTTCCTTGCTGTTTTGAATTATTCAACCTGTAGTTTCACATGGAACTTTAATACAGATTATTTTGACTATTGGTGACCCAGATAAAGAGATTTTATGTGAACCTAAAACATTCATAATCAAAAGAATCCAACTGTTAAAAAAGCTCACATTCCTGGCCATTGGTAATCTTTTTACTTAGTCTCAAGTACTAAAATATTATAAAACCACCAGTCCCTGCTATGGAACCCCAAAAGCAACAAAAGGCAGTCAAAGATTCAGAGTCAGGATTGAAGGGGAACTCCACCGATTCGACACATTAAAGTCTTGGGGAGAACAATTATATATGTGAAGAAAATGGTATAAATCCTCCAGAAGGAGCTGTGTGAAATCTGATAAGTGTCTTCAAGTGACGTCACTTGAGTCAGTGTCAGTTGGGCCGATGCCCCACCCAATGCCAGCGTCCATCCCGGTATTGTATCGTAGACATCGTCAGATGGCAATTTGTAGACATCGGCCAACCCTAATCTTGAGGCTAAATTAGCTTCTACTAGCATAACACACCCAAATCTCTAACCCAACTGATGGCAGTCGTGTTGCATTGTTGGTAATGCAGACACTTGGCATGGGATGTGCACGGCCCAGGACCAGAGGGGCTCTGCAGCGGGTGATTAAAACTGCTCAGAGGATCATTGGTACCCATCTCCCGAGCATCAGTGATATCAGTGAGGTGAGGTGCCTACGCAGAGCCCAAAGGATACTAAAGGACAGCACCCACCCAGCCACAGCCTGTTCACTCTGCTGCCTTCTGGGAAGAGAGATAGAAGTTTCAGCTGCTGCACCAGACTGCAGAGCATCAGACTCTTAAACTCTTAATTCATCCTCAGCACTGCTCCAGTGATGAGAGTTTATTTCTGTTACTATTTTTCATAATTGATTCTATATTAATGAATATTGTCAGCTATGTAGCAGAAGAGAGTTACAAGTTTACAAGTTTTGACATAGAAGAATAATGTGGATTAAAAAAGACGATAACTCTGGCTCTGCATTGATTTGTCCAACAATGTTTTAGGAATGCAATGCTAAAGCAATGGGGTACTATTTTCAATTCAATTCAATTCAGTTTTATTTATATAGCGCCAAATCACAAGAACAGTTATCTCACAGCGCTTTTCATAAAAGAGCAGGTCTAGATCGTACTCTGTGATGTTATTTACAGAAGCCCAACAATTCCCAATTTAAATCACATACACTAGATTCCATTTTAAACCACAATTTCGAGTATTTGATTTAGGCATATTAATTGTACTGTGTTTAAAAAACAATGAACATTTAAGAAATTTTGTTAAATTTCAAAAAAGGGGTTTGTAAAGAAACATGTTCATATTCCTTAAAGTAAGGTAACACAATCTATATTGTTTTTGCCTCCTTACAGAAACTCAGGTATTGTATTTGTACTAGGGGGGTGACCCTGAATAGTCGAAGATTTGATTATTCAATAGATCACAGTTGAATCTTCGCAGAGCCCTAACGAGGGCCTTATGTCGGCGGGTCAGCAGGCACAACTCTGCACAACACTGGTGAATGGGAGGTGAGCAGAGAGAAAATGGTCAACAATAAGCGTCAGTTTATTTGGAAATGTTCAGTGTAAGTTACAGTGACTAATGACTCCAGCTCTGCAGCTTTTGAAGATTAAAGTGGAGCTACCATGTGTAACCCCCCGACACACACACAGATTCAACTATCAGTCGAATATAGGCAATCCTTGCCAATTCTGATTCAACAATGTAAATCGTAAGTCTTAATGCCGTGCAACACAACATCATTTGGCAACACACTGAGTTGGCCAAGATATGTGTAAGTACACACACTGTATCTGGTATGACTGTTGTCATGCAAGATAAAATACTTTTTGGTGTGACAACCTTCCAGAGTTGTAAAATCCTTCTTCATAGTATTATCAACAGTTATACAGTGTTTTGACATCTAATAAGCCTTAAAACACCTTCCTGTATAATATTTAAAGGTCTAATCAGCACATGAGAACACCAGGTTTTTTGAACGCCGTTTTTGGTCTGAACACAAACTTAAATGAATCTCCAGTAAATCCTTGATGTCTTGCAAATTTTTATCAAGGTCTGTGGAGTAACGTGAATACTAAGGACTTAAAGCCTGACAGCACTAATTAATCTCATAAACCCCTCTGGGGTGAAAAGTATTACTATATTATATTAAATCTAGTATTGTGGCGAGTGATGGCAAATCGTGTGCCATGAAGGGGCTAACAGTCTGGAGGTTTCATTCCACCCACTGATTAGCACTTCTTCAGATAGAGAACTCCTCAGTGATATCCCCTGCTGTTTGTCTTCTGTGGCACATATTTAGATAGCCCTACATTAGTATGGAGTACAGATCCTGACAGATTCACAAATAAATACAGAAATAAATAAATGCTCAATAAATAAACATCCAATTAAATGCACAAGAAATAGAGTGAATAAATAAATAAATGTAGGCAGTAATTAAATTATACAATGAGAAAATTTCTTTTTATTAGCTTCTTTATTTATTCACCTTATTTATTTTTTGTCCATTATAATCTTCAACTTTATTTATTAATCACTTCTTTTTTAAATTATTTATGTGTTTTAATATAATATTTTTAAATTGTTTTATTCTTCCTTTGCATTTCTACCCTTTTTATTTCCCCAATGGTTGCCTATTGGTGGACCAGTCAGACGGCAGAAGTCGACTCTACATGCACACATCAACAAGCCTTGTTCCCCCACAGTCACGAAAGATGGCTTCCTTCAGTGCGCTGAGGTGTTTAGCAACTCTATTTGAGGACAATACTACCAGCCATGTCATCCTTCCTTTTCATGTGGACCCTCTGACCAACAGTGTTGTCAGTTAGCGACATACACGGACAGAGAACTGCGGGAGAGTGAGCCGTTGTTTGTTAGAACCACATGGTCAGCTAGCTGCAGCTAAATCTGGAGTGAATTTGTATTCAACCCTTTATGGTAAATGCAGTTTGAACGGAGCAGAGCAAGCTGACGGGCAGCATTAGAGACATTTGCAGTTTGAGAGCCTTATCTGAAGAGAGACTATCGCAATAGGAGCACCACATAAAACGTAACTGATCAAATTACGTCGGACTTTGTGAAATTAGCACAAAGATACACGGTTTTCAAAATAAGGTGTACATTTAAATATCTTCTGATCGGACGTCTTCTTGAGGTCCTATAAAAACACATTTCTCCTAAATTTCTGATTTGAGTTGTGGACTGCCACATAAATTAAAAAATTTAACATTTCACTGCCCAACTCAGCTATATCACAAGGATTGTTCATTAGGCTACATACTGTATAGTATTTGTGGACAGATACATCCTGAAGTTCATTGACAGTGTCTACAATGAACATTCAATAGTGATCAACTACAGATGGGTTGCCATATTTCAGTTCACCCTAAGACACCTTTGGATGTAAAGTCAACTAATTTGGCATTAGGCCTAATGAAAACTAAATTGACTGACAATCATCTGATTCAGCTGTCACATAATGTTTTTGAGGTAGAGCAAAACCGTGGCACTGGGGCTGAGAATGTGCAATGAATAAAACAATTTACATTTCAACAAATACAACTGTTTAATTATGTTCTGTCTTTTTGGCTTGCAATATGCAAGTATTAAACTTAACTTACAAGTTACAGGGCTGGTAAACAGAGCTGAACAGTTGACAATAATCAATGACATCCTCTGGCAGCTATTTATTCATTATGGTGTTTTTCCCAATTGTGATGTGCTACCAAAATAATATATTAATTTCAAGTTATACAGTAATGTAATGTCACATCTGTATGAAGTTGGATCAAATCTTAAATGTTAAATAGGGTACAGAGAAGCATAGTAAGCGTATTTATTTTCATTCTTTACACACATTACACAAGATGAATAAGCTATGCAGACAGTTGTAAAAAATTTTGAATGTTCTCCACTTGTCATCATGTAGTTTAATATTACAGTAGTGCTGTGGGCTGGATTAAAAGTATCCACTGTAATCCAGCAGCATTCAACACTGTGGAGCACAACATCCTCCTCCACCGTCTAAATTCCACTATCGGTGTTTCTGACTCTGTCCATGAGCGGTTCTCATCCTACCTCACCGGGATAACTGAGCATGTCGCCTTGGGTAAGGCTAAATCCCTGACACACAACGTCACCTGTGGTGTCCCTCAAGGCTCAGTGCTCAGCCCCACCCTGTTTATTCTCTACATGCTCCCCCTTGGCCATGTCATCAGCCGGCATGGAATTTCATTCCACTGCTATGCTGATCACACTCAACTCTACCTCAGTACAAACCAAACCACCTCTGTTGCCCTGCCATCATCCACTCTGACCACCTGTCTGGAGGATGAAGCAAAACTTTCTGCAGCTAAACAGCTCCAAGACTGAAGTCATCTTAGTCGGCACTCCACACCAGGTTCGGTCATCTGACATTACCAGCATCACCTTCTCTGGCCAAAATATTCCACTTTCAACATCAGCCACTAACCTGGTTGTTAAAATGGACTCTCATCTGACCTTTGAGGCTCACATCAAACATCTCTGCAAGACCTCCTTCTTCCACCTCAGGAACATCGGCAAACTCCGTCCCACACTCACTCCCGCACATGCGGAAAAGCTTGTCCACGCTTTTGTCTCCTCCAGGCTGGACTACTGCAATACGCTCCTCACCGGGATCCCTGAGAAAAGCCTTCAGAAGTTGCAGTACATCCAGAACAGCGCTGCTAGGATCCTGTTGAGGGTGCGCAAACACGATTTAGTACAAGGTCTCCCTCCTTACCCACCAGTGCATCCATGGTGAAGCCCCCCCCCCTACCTCAAGGAACTTCTCACCCCACAGACCTCAACACGTACCCTCCGATCTGCCTCAGCATATCTCCTGAAACCTCCCAGAACCAAGCTCCATACAATGGGAGATCAGGCTTTCTGCCCAGCTGCTCCCCGTCGGTGGAATGCTCTCCCTGACCATCTGAGGACACCACAGACTGTGGATGCTTTTAAACGTGGCCTTAAAACCCAACTTTTAAGGAGAGCTTTTGATTGAACTCTTGCCCTTTTCCTTATTGTTTTTGTTTATTTTATTTTTTTTATTTTCATGCTCT